ATGCTATAAGATATAACTACAAATATATAAATAACACACAAAAGTATTTGAATATATATTTTATTAACATAAAAGGAGATATACACACAATGCTAAGCACATACATGTCAATATTAACAATTATCTTCTCTAGGTAGAGGAACTATAGGTAATTTAAATGTTTTATACCTTCATACATATGCTGATTTTTCTGGTAGAAACATAACTTCCACAATCAGAAAAAATTCAAAATAGTATAAGACCTTTCAGTTTAAACATACACACATAGGCACACACATACTTATCTTGACATTAGACAGGGAAAAATCCTCTAAGTATACTTCGCTTCTTGTGCTGTCTCAACCCCCAAGAAGAGATTGATACTGTGTCAGTCCAGTGTGAGTCAGGGTTGAGGTATTCTCCCCAGTATCAAGTCGTCTTCTTCCCCCACCCTCCCGTAGTTTCACTACTTTCCTTTGTTAACTGTGTTCAAATCATAGTTCTGGCTCTGGTCACCAGATGGCGTGCTTACTTCTAGTTTCTAAATACTATTTATGTATTTATGTATTTTTTATTTTCTTTTTTTTTAAGTTACTAGCTTTTTATTTTTAGCAGCTGAAACAACTTCTTTGTACTCCAGTTTCCTCATCTTGTTAGAAGCGAAAACTCCTCTCTGTAGCATTCCAGCTGTTCTCTCTTTAAATCTCAGTCGAATTCATAGGTTTTCAGGATGATTTGAAAGTTATCTAGGTAAGTTGGTGGGGACGGATGACTTGGGGACCCTACTCCTCTGCCATATTGCCCCGCCTCCACTATTTTTTATTTTCTAAACACTATTTAAAAACCACTATTGTCTTGGTAAACAAGTTTAAAGAAAAACTTAATTTTTTTATACATAGGTTATGAATCAGTACATTTAGTACAGTCCCACTTTTGTTTGAAAAATACATATTCATAGAAAAGGGTAGAAGGGTATACAATTGGATTCTTCATTCATTTAATTCAATAAGTATTCAAAGGGTCCTTCCCACATGTCAGATACCATCAGCCACAATACATATTTTCATGCCAATCTCTTTTCCCAACTCTAGATGCTTAAATTGAACAGCCTACCAGACATCTCTGTCTTGAGAAAAATATGTAAAAACTCACCCAAATGCACAAACCAACAAGGACATAATACTTCATGAGTCTAAATCAATTATTCCCTAAGACCCGAAAATCTACAATCTAAATTGGAGGCAATGTGGGATGCCTAGCTGGCTCAGTTTGGGAGCATATGACTCTTAACCCAGAATTGTGAGGTTGAGCCCCAGGTTGGGTATAGAGCTTACTTTTAATTAATTAGTTAAATAAATAAATTGGAGTGTGTAGAGTGGGGAGAACCCAAAATCTGATTCAGACAAATCTGAATTAGAACACGTGATGTGTCTCTTATTTATCTGTATAATTTTATTCTTTATTCATGAAAATAATTGAGTTTGGGTTAGTATTTCTGAATGGGAGAGGAAGGAATCTCAGGGTATTTTATAAGGAGCCAGAACCTGATCTCTCAGGTATGCTACCTCATACTGAGTGGCTCTCACTCTCAAGCACTGTCACCTAAAAGCCAGATCATTCTGGTTAAAAGAGGGCTTTCTTCAGGGTCTGGGACCCCAAATGTTTTTTGCTCTGGCATTGACGAGGCAAGCTGCTTCTTAGACATGTGATGGGAATACCAGCCTTCTCTGTGAGCAGGAAGTGGTAAGAACCCCGGAGAACCAGGCTGTGGAGGCTGCTGGCCATCCACCACCAAGGCCCCTGGCCCCCAAATCATGGACAGAGCCTACAATGCATAGAGATGTTCACACAGGAGGTGAAACCCCTTTTCTCCTAAGTTGTTGGACCACGTGTCTTTGCAAGTTCCCTTTACCTGGAGTCTCCTCTGACTCTGGGTCTGGGCTGACACATACATCAGAGGCACTGCATGCACAGAGCAATGTTCATTGCAGAATCACCAAAACAGGCTGGGGCACATCTGAGCCCTTTGGGGTGTCTACACAAGGTGGGTAGTAGAGGGATGGGTGAGGTCTTGTCTGATCTGAGGTCTAACTCCATTTGTGGAAAAGCTAATTCATTAAACTCAGAAAAGAGCCAGCTCCTGCTTCAGCCCCAAGCTACCTGGTCAGACCCAGATCAGACATCAGCCTACTCAAAGACTATCCCAACCAATGTTTCCAGTTAGGAATCCTTGAGACTTTTTTCTCCTCCCTACAGAAAAGGAGGGAAAGGCAAGTGCTCTGACCTGCAATGGGGACAGTTGTTGCCTCCAGGTAAGTGTGTCCAGGATAATCTGGCCATCAGTCTCAGAGGGTTTGGTGCCTGCTGCAGGCTGGAGCAGAAACCAAAATCAGAACCCCCCCTGGAGAGGAGTGTGACTTGGGTGAGCCTTTCCACATCCTACCTGAGCACCACCACTCTGAGCACCAGGGGAGTGGATTCTTCCTATCTTGTCAAACTGGCACAGTGAGCCTCTGGAAATTTATCTCACTCCAACTGGAAGCTAGCCTGACCAGCATCCATCAGGCTGCCACGACTTTGAAGAATGGTCTGGAGACATGGAGATCCCCCAAAATGGCATCATACAGTGGAAATTAAAAAAATATATAGGTCAAGAGCACAGGACTGGCTTACAATTTTGTGAGATGATTACTAAAAGACTTTAAAATTATTTCTGATCCATTTTACTAACTGGAAGGAAAGAATGAAAAGCATTACATAATATTAGTTGTGGAAAATGTATCTTGCTTATTTTATTATCCTCTTAGCTTTTTATTCTGTGTACGGTCTTGCTTCACTGCAAGAAATCTAAATTTTATGTAGTAAAATGGATGACATTGTTTTTAGTTTCTTATAAATGTTCTTGGACAAGACTTTCACTTTTTAAAAAAGATTTTATTTATTTATTCATGAGAGACACAGAGAGAGAGGCAGAGACATAGGCAGAGGGAGAAGCAGGCTCCCTGTGGGGAGCCCGATGTGGAACTCAATTCCAGGACCCCAGGATCACTACCTGAGGCAAAGGCAGACGCTCAACCACCCAAGCACCCCAGACTTTCACTTTTTAAAAAAAGTTAATTCTACACCCAGTGTAGAGGTTGAACTCGGAATGCCCAGGATCAAGAGTTGCATGCTCTACGGACTGAGCCAGCCAGGTGACCCAAGCCTTTCACTCTTTTAAATTCTGATACAGTCATCTGCATCTTCTTCGATTTATGTCACAATTTATTTTTACTAAAACCAAAAGTATACTTAATATAGCAGTGGATGTCTAACTTGTGTGCTAATTGACAGAAAAGGAAATTTAATGGGTTTGGGGTAGAGCCCAGGTCTTTGCATTTTTTATAAGACAAATGCTGATATAGAGAATTTGTAAATAATTTTAATGTTGAATTTGGGGAAACAATTCCTCCCCCCAGTAATCCTTCTGAAATCGGAAATCATACATTCTAGAGAGGTAAACACACTGAAGCTACATAGTCAATCAAACAAACTCACGGTTCATGACTGGGTCGTAATTTCCAAAATCATTAATCACTATCCATGTTTCTAGAATTAATAGGATAAATAAAACAAAATCTTAGGTGTTATAGGTGTATTTTGAGAAACCATAATATCTGATACACACATACATATGTATGTATGTGTATATACATATATAGTAGTTTCATGACTTATAAAGTACTTTTGAATGTTTCTTGGTGATGAGGGGCAGGGTAAAGAGAAATGTCCTAGCTTGATCTAAGTCTGACTTTCCTCTTTAATTTATACAAGGTGAGCAAATATGCCAGAAAACCCTTGGGAGAGAATTCACCCTAAGGCAAATATTAGGCACCTAAAACCATAGCCATTTTTTGAAATTGTTTGGTTGGGAGGTTCCAATCCTGAATACACAGCATTATAGCTGGCCACAGATCTGTCTTGTAGCCCAGGTCTCAGTGAATTCATGTTTGAATCCAGTGGGGGAAAGATGAGGCCTTCAGGAAAAAGGGGACTATTTTGCCAAGAATTCTTTAAGACATTGAGGTTTAAGCAGCACTGGGATGATATGCACCTGGGTAAGTATAATATTAAAACTGACGGAGAGGCATTCTCCATTTATCTGTAGGAGACACAGTTCAGCTTTGGTCCAGAAGGGACTCCAGAGCAATCAGTGAAGCTTTGCAACTGGAGGACCCAGGCACCTTGGCTGTGGGGAGTGGGCATGGAAAGAACAGGACCCAGAAGGGGCTGCTGTGCCCAGCAGATGTGCCAGTATCCAAGAGAAGAGAATAGCAGGATATAAATAGAATGTGGCAGTCACCTGGAATCTCACAGCAATTATTTGTGAGTTTAAGTGAAACCTCCTTTGGGTTCTAACCCCTGTATTTGAAAGGTATCTATAGGGGTTGTGAGTCCTATGTGTACAAGTGGGGGAAACAAGGCAGCTCTAGGATTTTCACTTTATTAGGCTCCACAGCAGCTTTTAAGTCAAACATTATTCCTCTTTAAATGGGAAAAGAGTGACTATTAAATAGAAGTACCAAGTTTGTTTCTCTGCGTGAGATTTAAAAGAATCATGCAATTAGGGCATCTGGGTGGCTCAGTCCATTAAGCATGTAGCTCTTGATCTTAGCTTAGATCTTGATTTCAGGGTCTTGAGTTCAAGCTCCCATTGGGTTCCACCCTGGGCATGGAGCCTACTTAAAAACAAACAAACATGAGATTTACTTTTCTTTAAAGTTCTGACAAGTATTTATTAAGTGTCACATTGTCTTTATAAGCTGATTGACAGGTTTTTATGTTTTTCCCATTATATTTTTTGCAATGAAAGTAACATGTTTGTCTTTAAAAATTAGTTCTGATGAAGCAAAAATGAAAAAAACAAACCAAAACACCTATTACTGCACAGATAGCCACTGTTAAGTCATTTAAGTATATACTTTTTTCTTTGCATATTAATATATAAATATACATTTTTTACAAAAATGAGATGCAACATATACTTTTTGAAAATCGTTTTTTTCACTTCACAATATATAATGTACATCTTTTCATGCAAATGGGAGAGACTCATGATTGAAAAAGGGAGATTTGCAGCTTGTGGGTGGGGAAACCCCAATTTTATGCCAGTTACAAGTGAAATACCTAAACTAAAGACACACGAAAAGTTAAAAATGAGATGGGGAAAGGTATACGAGAAAAAGCAACGTTCAGGTGGCAATACTTGTATCAGGCAAAACAGAATTAAAGCCGAACACATTAAATAGGATAAGGACGGTTCCGTCTTGCCTTCCAATGCATGACCATCAGTTTGTTCCGTACTCTTTTCATTTCTTCCATCTCCTCTGCTACCTTTATCATCTCCTCATTGCTTAAATTTCTGCCATGTATGTCCCCTCTAAATTGCGGGCGAGAGCGAGCCAGCCTCTCTTTAAAGCTTCCTTCTTCTAGCTTATGTTTTCCCACTCCACAAGGAGGCTGCTCCATGGGAGGGCGCTCCTCAAAAAGGTCCCTTCTAGAAAGGCGCTCCTGAGGAGGGCGCTCTTCGGACACGAGCATCTCGGGAAGGAGCTCGGGAAGGAGCTCCTCAGGAAAGAACTCTTCCTCCGACGACTGCTCCTCGGAAGACGGTTCCTCCGGAGACTGCTTTTCAGGAGAGTGCTCCACAGGAGGCCGCTCCTCATCAGTCTTGGGTGCGCTCTGTGGCTGTTCATTTTCTTTGCGGGATTTTTCCATGTTGAGGATGGTCTTTATCTACAGTTATTCATAGAAGACAAGGAATGCAGAGTCGAGTCAACACACTCGGCGGCTGCATCAAAACCCCAGCCCCGGGTTCTCATACCTGCCTTTTCCCGAGTCGAGGCCCAGGTTCCCCCACCCTACGCTGGTTGAGGGGCTCTCCGGCCCTGAAGACCCCGCTGCGTCCCACCCTGCCCTCAGCCTCCCTAGCTCCCAGCCTCCCTCGCCCCCTCCTTTCCGAAAGCCCACCATTTTCCCAGCAGGCCTTGCCACAGGCCTCTCCCGCAGTGGCAGGGGCGGGGCGCGCCGGCGGTGCTGCCGACTCGGTTCCCTTCAGTGTCCTCCCGCGCACCCCATCCCAGGTCACTGCCCGGCCCTTCCCCGACCTGGACCTCTCCTGGCGGTTTTTTCTAGGCGCCCTCTTCTCGAGGCGCGCCCCTGTGACCTGCAGACCTGCAGACCTGCAAACAGACGCCAAGACAGGGTAGGGGGCGGGGAGTGGGGAGGCGGGAAGGACTGACTGACACACCGTCCCTTTCTGGACACTAGCCGCCGCTCCCACGCCAGCCCCCTCTGTTTCCCCTCCCCCATACTCCACCTTAAGCTTCGTCCTCCGTGCCCCACCACCCCGCAGTGCTCGTCATTTCTTTTCCAAGCGGCAAGTGGAAGCCAAAGATTACTTAGAAACTGTTTCTAGGTATCTGTGTCTCCCAGGGCCCCCCCACTCATCTCTCCACCTCACCCCAAAACCACCATTTTCTGCACCGAAATGTGGGCGCGGCGGGGCGGGGCTGGATATAGGGAAAGGCCTGGTACTCTCTGCCATCCCGATCCCAGAGGTTACTGGGCAGCACCGACACATACCGATTTCAGAAGACCAAGGGGACTTACTTCCTTCTGCTTTTCCCCTCGATCAAAGGGCAGTAGGCAGACGGTGTCTGGACAGGCATAAAGGACCAGGAGAGAGGGACTTGGGCAGACATAGGCTCCTGGTCACGTGAGGGCCCCGCGTCACCGCCGAGCTCAGATCCCCAGTTACCACTTTGACCGCCGGCGGCCGTGCTGCAGCCTTGCCAGTATTTTCCTAGCTCATAACACATCAGGCATCGTCACTCACCTCTTTGTTTATATTTGCTTTTTCCTGGTTACCAGAGACAGCATCCAGTCTTGGGAGTTACTGCCTTTTCTTCTCTGCCGCTTACTCTGATATCACCTCTCTCCCTTATTCCATATTCTCCCGTTGTCAGCCACCAAGGTCCAATATTTCCCCTGTAGTCCAGATCCTGCACTGAAATTTGACTAGTTTCCCCTAATGAATTCCACCTTTCCCAGCTTTAATCCACATCCCTAACTCCATCATGTCCATGTAGGCTCTATGAACATGATTTACATCTCTTGTCACTTTTATGGATGATATGCTTTCATTTTTCTATGACTTTAAGGATTTTTTTAAAAGATTTTATTTATTTCACTCAGCATAATACCCTCCAGTTTATTAATGAGAGAGGCAGAGATTCAGGTAGAGGGAGAAGTAGGCTCCATGAAAGGACTCTGACGTGGGACTGGATCCCGAGTCTCCAGGATCAGGCCCAGGGCTGAAGGCGGCGCTAAACTGCTGAGCCACCGGGGCTGCCCAACTTTAAGGATTTTTTGAGCCCCCCCAAACTTGCATCACAGATAGAGGCTCCAGTCTAAATTAGTATTCAGTTCTAGAACTTTGCTTGTGAAGTATGTAAATTAAAAACATGATTTTCGTAAGTCAAATTATACATTTGTCCATCTAAATACAAATAATTTAAAAACTTATCTGTAATGGAAGCATTTTTTGTGGAGAGTGTGGCATTATTATATATAATATGTATATATATATACACACTATTTTTCTAAAAAATTAACTAAACTCTGCACCACATATGGGGCTTGAACTCATGATCTCAAGGTCAAGTGTCACATGCTCCACTGACTGAGGCAGCCAGGCACTTCTATATACATTATTATGTGTGTGTGTATACACACATGCACACATATATAGCATATATATGTATACGTATGTGTATTCTGTGTATATATATATGCTCTTCAGTAGTTATTCATAATAAAGAGATTTTTCTGGTACTCTAAATTCTTACTTAACCAGCCACCTCTTGGTGTCGCTGGTTAAGAAAGTGTATATTAATTCATTAAATCAGCAAATACCTGGATCCTGGGACTGCTGTACCCAAAAGATTCAGTACAGAAGATATTCATATCCAACTATGCATTAATACTGTTGACCACACACTGAGTAACAGGATTAAAATCATATTAATATACTCAATTGTCATTACAAGTATGTATGTTTGGATCTAATGGTGTTTTATTATCTTAAACCTCATGCCTGCATCTTCTCTACTCATATCAGCCTGGATGCTACTTTCTCATGCAGGTGTCTTTTCTTCCAGAGAGCAGACTATACCTCTCCTCTCTGTATTTTATACTTTTAGGGTTAGTGGCTATCAGATCTGTAAGGATTATGGGATCTTTTTTTTTTTTTTCAAACCCAGGCTGTCTAGTAAGTTTCCAAACAGAAATTCATATGGGAATTTTCCTATTTTAAGAGCTTTCTGTCACTTTTCTCCAACATCTAATTTACTTTGTGTTGAGATAGCAGCAAGACAAATATTAGTTCACTTTTGTATCTTTTCCTTAACTGTTTTACTTTTCAGTTTTTCAGTGTGTCTTTTAAAATCCAAATTTCACTATACCGTCTTTATTCTTTTTACCAAAGGTTGGCTTCATCATTTGTATAGTTTCTTTCCAAGAGAGGACCCCCATTTTATTCATTTCTTCATTTCTATCCTTTTCCCCCCCTTACATCCTGTGATGGAGAACTCACTACCTTAAAAGACAACATTGAAATTTCATTCAGTTTTAATCATTCAGAGTAGTTTTTTCTTTTTAAATTTTTAATGTATTTTTTAGGAATGCCTGGGTAGCTCAGTGGTTGAGCGTCTGCCTTCAGTTCACAGCGTGATCATGTGATCATGAGAGGCAAAGAGAGGCAGAGACATAGGCAGAGGGAGAAGCAGGCTCCCCGCGAGGAGCTTGATGGGGGACTTGATCCCAGGACCCCAGGCTCACAACCTGAGCCAAGGGCATATGCTCAACCACTGAGCCACCCAGGTGTTCCCAAAGTAGTTTTTTTCTTTTATTGAACTGATACCTGCCTCCCAGTAGTTTACATATATTGGTATTGGTTCTGCCCTCTGGAGTAGTATGAAACAAAAATAAAGTAACAAAAGTGCCCTTTATCCTTGATAGTCTGACACTGCCAGAGTTAATATTCTAGTTCTTTCCCCTTCCCAGCTGTGAGACACACTGGGCAATCTACTAGAACTTTCTGTGACTTAATTTCCTCATCTGCAAAATTGGATACATGATAGTACCTACCTCATGGGATTGGTAAAATGAGTAAATGAGTCTATATGAAAGGGACTTGGAAAGGTGCCAGTACATAAAAAGCACTCTATAAGCCTTAACTATAATAATAGAAATAGTAATAATAATAATAATAATGCTAGTATGACCTAATGCTAATAATACTAATTATTGTTTTTTAATTTTTTAAAAAGTTAACGTTGATTGAGCACTTATGCCAGCTATTGTGCTAAGCATTTTCAATATGCTGTCTCATTTAATCCTTAAGCAATTATATTCTCACCAAGATTTTCTTATTTAGGCTTAACCTCCCCAGTTATTTCAGTTCTTTCTGATATGGTATACTTTATCACAGTCTCTCACCATCCTACGCGTTCCTGAATTTGTAAATGCCTCTGAAAATACTGACAGTTCTGCCTAGTGTAGAATGGAATGGTCTTATCACACCTTAATTCTACATCTGTAGATGCATCCTAAGATCATAGATTTTGTGGATGCCATATCACATGGTTGAATCCACTTTAATTGCAATCACCTGACACCCCCAAATCTGTTCCACACATCCCTGTTAATAAACTTACATAAATCATTTTAATTTAAAAGACTTTAATTAAAAAAAGACTAATTTAGTAAACATTCAGTGTAAAATTACTTTCAGCTGTACAACATAGTGATTCAACAATTCTATTACTCAGTGCTCATCAAGATAAATATACTCTTAATCTCTTTCACCTATTTCAACCATCCCTTCACCCACTTCCCCTTGTTTATTCTCTATAGTTAAGAGTGTGTTTTTTGGTTTATGTTTTTTTCTTTGTTCATTTGTTTCTTAAGTTCTACATATGAATTAAATCATATGATATTTGTCTTTCTCTGACTGGCTTGTTTCACTTAGCATAATACTCTCTAGTTCCATCCATGTTGCAAATGGCAAGAACTAATTTCTTTATGGCTGAATAATACACACACACACACCATGTCTTCTTTATCCATTAATCTATTGATGGACACTTGGGCTGCTTCCATAGTTTGGCTATTGTAAATGATGCTGCAAAAATACATAAGGGTGTATATATGTAAATGATTTTAATTTTATCCCAAATATAGAAACTTCTGTTTTTCTGGGTTAAATGTTGTCTATTAGATTCACTCTCTAATTCTTTGAATCCAAATTTTATCATTCAGTACATTAGCTACAAAATATTAATTTAAAGTATGCCATTAGTATTGAATAGGATGATAAATTCAGCAAGGAGATCTAACTACAAATGAAAAAATTACTTTCCTCTGTTGGGTTTGGCAGCCAGGAGTGTCCCTGCCAGGCCAGTACCCCATCTTTCCTCTCTCAGTGTGACTTTGTAGGGTGGGATTACTTTCTAGTGCTGCTGATAGAAGACATAGTTGCCCCTGAAAGCTCCCCAACTGGTATAAATTAAACCTTGTTGAAGATTTGGTAAACATGGGGGTCAGACAAGGGGGGTATAGAGAACTAGAATGAGGAACGGAAGGAAGAATGAAGACAGTGTCTGCATTGGCTCTAAGTCTCTGACTCTGTCTGACTAACTGATTTTGGTTCCCTTGAGAGGAAGGGCACTCAGTAGGAAATAGAGTGAAGGTGGTTCTGCCATGGTGGCAACCATTTGTTCCAAAGGAATGTGGTCTGCTCTTTGTGTGTGGTTGGGGTGGGTGCTATGAAATAACCCTTCTTATGGATTTGATTTGATACTTGCTGACATAGGGTCCTATGAGGACATGTTGCTTGGCTCACAACTGCTAGAAAGGAGTTAAGTCCAAGAAATGCCATTTTAAAGGTGAGATAATAAATACTCTGGGAGATTACAAATTGTTCTGATGGAAACGCAGATGGTAGTTGCCAAGATAGGATTGAAATCCTGGCAGTATGATGTAAGAGATGGAACCTTTAAACACCTTGTAAAACTGCGCCTGGTCAGTGGGCTTCAGGCGCATTTACATGTAGCCAGGGTGGACAGTACAGGCCTTTTTGCGTAGCAGGAGCTGAAGGTATCAGAAAGCAGGCAGGCAGCCATGCAGGCAAGGGGGAGGGCAGTCAGCCCCTGGCAGCTGCTGCCATGACAGCAGTCTCCAGGGGCATGGCCTTTCTCTGGGGGAATCTGAGGAAGCCAAGGGTGAGTTTCTGGGATTCCTGTTCTCTGGTGAGGCTGCACTTCTGTGGCAGAAACACAGCCCCCCTCCCTCAGAGCCTCTCTACAGCACAGATTCCATGGAGGTCTGGTTTCACTTTGCAGGGCCTGTCTGCATGGAGTTGAGGAGTAATGCCCTCTCCAGCTCAGAGGTTCCCCCTCGCCTCTGCATTCTTTCCTAATGACACCCACAGCAGTATTTTGGTCTCAAGACTAGCTGCTGTGGATTTCAGCAGGCCCCTTCTAGCCTGTAGCTCTCAGGCTCTCCCCTACTCTTGCCCCAGGGGAAATAACCAAGTGGGAAGTGCAATGACCAGAGCCTTCTCTTTTCTGCTTCTGGCCTCATCCTAACTGGGGCTTTCTCTCTCTCTCTCTCTCTCTCTCTCTCTCTCTCTCTCTCTCTCATCTCTCATCTCTCTATCTCTATCTCTATCTC